GGGGACCACCAAAAACCCAACCCGAGCAACCAACAGGCACACACAGATAGCCCGACAGAATCTCTGTCGGGCCGACCGCATGCACCATCTACCTGACAGCGACCACAGGCCGGCCCCAGCCCAAGGGGCAGAGCAGCAGGGAGCCGCAGCCGAGGAGGGCCGGCTCTCACATCAAGAGCTCCGCACCATAGGCCCGGAGACGCCCCAGCACGCCACCCATGCACCCCCCCACACACTATAGTTTACATTTTTATTGAACTGCAGAAAATTATGGTACATCCACACATTGATTTTTGATTTTTTAGGATCAGCTAACCATCAAGCTCCTCTGCCTCTGGTAGATGATCTGATTGATAGAAGTCAAATGGAACTGCTCATGCAGAAAAACAGGGCAAGTTGGGTGTTTTTACTAAGAGTCACCTTCAAGAACTCAACGGAACTATGGAAGATGACTCTAGAGGCCAAATTAAAACCAAATACACAATTTAGTATCAAGCGGCATGCAGCAAGGCAGCACTCTGTCTCCACTACTATTCTACATTGACCTAAACCTCCTCAGCCAGATAATCGCAAAAAGTAGACCGTGGATGCCAGTTTCAAAGTAGAACAGTCCTTAGTCATCTCCTCTACATGAATGACATCAAGCTGTATGCCAAAAATGAGCGATACATCAACTCACTGATCCACTTCACCACGATATACAGCATAAAAATGTCAGTCGGACTTCTAAATGTTGTTGAATGGTATCCAAGAGAGGCAAGGTGATCACAAGTGAAAGGGTTGACCTACCTGAAGGCAACATTGCAGATCTCCAGGACAGCTAAATACCTTGGAAGTCCAAAGGCAAGTAGCAATCAAGATGATGCACCAAGAATCTCAGCCACAACCGAATGGCAAGAACAATATCTGAGCCATCAACACATATGCAATGCTAGTCATCAGATACCCAGCTGGTATGATAGCCGGGCCAAAACAGGAGATAGACACCACAGACATCATGATACAAACGCTCCTCACAGTGCACAGAGGGTTTCACCCAAAGTCCAGCACCCTGAGACTACCTGTATACAACAAGACAAAGGAAGGGAGGCAGAGGACTAGTGAAGATATCAACAAATCACAGTAATCATAGCAACACAAGAACAATGGAGGCTGGGGTCTACCACACAAGACAAGACCCCAGATGCAGGCTGTGCAAAAATGCCCAAGATAGTCCAGCACATAATAGCAGGATGTGAGGAGAAGGCAGGAAAAGGACAACCAAGTGGCTGGAATAGTGTACAGGAACGTCTGTCCACAGTCCACATATATAAAAAGGATTAATCTGTCTTATCCTGAGAATTTTTAAGCATAATACACCCTCAAAAATCTATATAAATTTAAGGGGTAATTGACTAATTAACTTTTTTTTTTAATGTTTTCATATAAGCAGGTGTCAAAGGGACTGCATATAGGCCAGAGCAATATCTGTGCTGATGTCTGGGGTCTGTTTCTTTCTTAAAGACACTGATAACTTATCTGTTTATACTTTACCTGCTGATTGTATCTCAGGATGGACTCTGGAACTGTTTACTGAGACATCTTCGGCCTCAGCACCATGCAGCATTTCATCTGAACAGACTGATGTGCATTCTGTGTTCACCACAAGGACAGCTTCTTTACAATTCTGCCAATAGATTATTGAGATAGTCAACTGTAAATGCTTTGTAGAACTAGCAATGTGCTTCTTCAAAGTGATAAAAAGCCATTTAATATAAACAGATTACATATATATGAACTTTTACATTTATATTTTTATTGCATTGAGAAATAATTTAATGCCAACAGTTGGCCAAGAAAACCTTACTGCAATTATGAATCCTCTCAGTTCACATTTAGATAGATATTTGCGCTTTACAAAAATCAAAACATTGCATCAAGGCAAGGTCAAAAATCTTGTTTAACTTAGTTTTCATATAGAGTCTAAGTATTTTACAGGAAGAAATCCAAATATTTTGCTTTATTATACTGTAAAACAACAACAACAACAAAAATGGCAACAAAAAATATGTATCAGCTGTTGTCTTCTGGAAGAAATTGTCACATAATTCTGGGTCAAAATAAAAAAAATAAAAAAAAGACAAACAGTATATTTTTGCACAACAGTTTTTCCAGTAACGTTTGTTTTTAATTATCTACGATAACATTATGTAATCAAATTCATAACAGCTCATAATGATCGGTTTCAGCCGACCTTGGTGTGATAATTGTCTGCTCCTCCAGTACAGAACTGCGCCGCCTGGTGTTGTGACGTTGGGTGCAGTTCTCACTTGGTGTCGCTTGGTGGCAGCACTGAGTCATCCGTTTATCTCCGCCCCGAACAAATACTCAGCGGAAGAAGAAATCGTCCAGCTATGTAAAAGTTTACATGTAGCATTCTGTCACTTGGATTCTATCTATTAAGTCAAAGGGATGGGGTTTACTCCAGGGAGACACAGAATATTTATACTATTCTTCATAATTTTCTTATCAGGTGGATATTTTCGATGGGTAAGTGCATGTTAATATTCGCCTTCTCGTGACATGACTCAGCCGTGGCTACGGTTGCTATTTGTGATGTTTATTTCAGGTGGAGAGCGAAACTACGATGCTTAGTTCTGTGTTAAGAGCTACTCCTTATAGAATAAACACCTCCTTATCCAGTTTTGACCTAATACGGCTCTAAATATATAACTAGCGTTAACGCTCAAAGAACATGTGTCGGACAGACTTGACATTTCAGAGACTGGTTACACTGGTGGTTCAGGTTGATGTCGAAACCGATTTTTGACCATTCAGTGAAAATCTCCAGAAGTGCCTCAGTCAGCTCGTTTTTATTGAATTTCAGCCCCATGTTTCGATTTAAACACAGTTTGGCTAACCCAAGTAGAACCCCATACAGGAAAGTTAGCTAATAATCTGTAACCAGGCTTGCGTCAGATACTCAGAAATCTACGTTCTTTGTTTGCTGGTGTAGATATCAGTCATCCAGGACAGGGTAACTCCAAAAAAAAAAAAAAAAGGTTAAAGATGAAAACAACTGGACATCTATTCTGTATTTAACTACAGAATAGATGTCCAGTTGTTTTTGCTTTTAACCTTTTTTGGATTAAGCTCTTTGTTATCCATTCCATACACCCTGTGTTTTCTGTCTTGGTTTTCTGAATTAATTAATCACAAATATCATCCTTGTTTTATATTGACACCAATATTTGAGTTCCATGTACTTCTCCCTCATTTTTATTTATTTATTACAAATTAAAACTGTACAAAATTAAAGCTAACAAGGTAGCACTCAACTCAGGCTGGTTTTTAAATACCAAGCAGGACGTCCTGATGCATCCTCCATCATCCAGCTAAATAAATCCACAAAAGTTAAGTCAGGTTTTAACTTTTGTGGACCAAGCAGGACGTTTTGCTTGTGAAATAGTTTGCTTCAAGTGCCTTGTAGTTAAAATAATCCAGTCACCATCATGTGCTCATTTACATCAGTGCACATATTGATTATATGACTTACAAAATCGTGCAGAATTTATCTAGTTTTGTGCTGCCAATTCAGTGTATACAGTAATGAGATATAAATATTGACGCCCAAACTAGTGCAATTTCAAACGCGTTTAAATAAAATCTGAACTGATTTACTTACGTATTCTATAATTTTTTCAATCAATGTCACCTTTTACCACCACCTTACTGTTCCTCGGGGTGTGAAACAAGGATACAGTGCAGTGATAATAATAGTACGTTGACAGAAAGCACATGCCGATAATCCTCACAGAAGAAATTATTGCCGCAGTAATCCATTTTTTTCTATTTCCACATTTTAAGTTACATTTCATCACATGGACATCACAAACAAAAAGTGATGTTGCAATGACGCTTGCTTTAACCTTTAGCTTTAATTGAATTAGATATGTTGTATGCATCAATAACTTGTCCTCATTGGCCTCTACGCTCCACTTACTGCACTGTTTGCTCGTCTTTTCATGATGCGTTAGATTGGGCCACTTCAATTGACAGAACTACTTTGAAAAGGTGCTTTTAAAACTGGTCAGTCATTGTTTTAAAATAAGCTATTGATGTCCAGCTGGAGAAAAAAGAAGAATGTTGGAATCAGTGCACATACATTGATTATCTGGAGTTTGTTATGAGGCAGCAGAAACCCAAAAACCACTTGTGAGGGGGTCTGATTCTTGTATTTGGGCAGAATTGGAATTTCTGTTCAAGGGCCACTGCAGGGATCCGTTTGTTTACCTAAGTAAACAAGTTCCAGTTAGATAGTTAAACAGTAAGGCTGATGACCTAGTCTACAGATTTTTAAACCTTGTTTGCATAAATACTGACACCTGAAAACCGAGTGACCTCAGTCTTCCAAAGAGCAAATAGGATAAAGTTTGACACCGTCTTCTCACAAAACAATTTGTGGAATACATGAGTTAACTTCCCTAAGTTGGTCCTCGCAACACGGAACATGTGAGAGCTCTGATGCTGATTCAACAACTAAAAAAAAAGCTTGTTTAATTAAAAAAAAAAAAAAAACTTTCAGGAATTTAATTTTTGTTCATACTGTATAAAATAAAGTTACAGATTGAAGTTAATTAAACTGCTTTTCTACTACTAAATCACTATTATTATTATTATTTGTTTTTTCAAATGCTGGTTTGCAGAGACATTCTTTGGCAGAAGTTGCAAAAATTATTTTCAGACACAGCATAAAAGGTGTTAAAAACACAGGAAATACAACACAACCAGATTTTTTTTTTACTTGGTAAATAAACGACACGCAAAGATACTTTTTTAGCTTTAACATAAAAATAAATAAACCAACTGCAGCCACATGACTCATTGTTGCCGTGAAGTAACTTAAAGTGTGTTGCATGCTTGTCTTTGACTTGTTGGCTTTGTCATTTGATTTATTTTGTAATACATTTTTATACAAGTTTAACGTTTGATTCGCCACTTTACAGCCTGTTTTTAGGCTGGACATTCAAAGACCAGATGAGAATACGCCTCAGAGCAGAAATGATCAGTGTGTTTCTTGTCTCGCTGTCAGGTTGAGGCCCAGCACTGTGTGTGGTACGGCGAGTGTGGCGAATCAGCGAAGGTACCTGGGAAAAAGTACAACTGCAACTACACCGGGCCCCCTATTCCTCTACAGCCTGAGGGTTATGAGCTTCTCGGGGTACGTGCAGTCTCGTATCGTTTTCTCCCGCAGCATCCTCGTTCTTTGAAGCTGCGTTTCATTTTGCAGTGCGTCTATAAAAATGTATCAAAGTCACATCTTCAATATGTATTTTTTTTTATGCAGGAGCTGTGTCCAGGGTTAGACTATGGAGACCGAAGTCTTTGCTGTAACGTTGACCAGCTGCGCACACTCAAAGGGAGTCTTCAGCTGCCCCTTCAGTTCCTGTCTCGGTATGCAGCTTATTGTAACATTAACTCATGAATTACGACATGCATAGCAGAATACTATCTCTTTCTGAATACCTGGAGATAAATCTGTCAATATGTTTTATTTGCTGCAAAAAGCACTCAGTGCTGGGTTTAAATTTGCAGGCTTTGCATGATTGAATGGACGAGTTCATGAGCAAAGCTTGACATGCTCTGTCTTTGTAGGCTGTTTCACTTCACTTTTCTTATTGCCTCAGATTTTCCTTTACACTAGTTTAAAAGTGAACTGTTTTTATTGTGTTTTATCACGCTTGTTTTAATTTCGTACCTGGCATTTTCTGAATCTGTGTGCAGGTGTCCCTCCTGTTTTTTTAATCTGATAAACCTCTTCTGCGAGCTGACATGCAGCCCCCACCAGAGTCGGTTTATGAACTCCACCAATTTTGATGGCCCCAGCGTGGTCCAAGTGACGTACTACATTGGAAAAACCTTCACTAATGGTCAGTGTATAACCAGAACTAGATTTGGATACAAAACAATATTTTTTTTTAAATGATTTCCTCATTTTGATAAATGTCCCGTGAAGAACTGACGCAAAGGGCTTGCATAAAAAACCAGCTTAGTAAACATTATTATTTCTCTAACTAAATATGAAGTCATGCTCTCAGTTGTTTGTGTTCAGCTGGTTACTGAGTGTTTGGTCTTGATGCAAATAAAATGGTGAATGAACTATTTGACTAATTAAAACCTGGATCATTTCCCCTTTTTTAGCCATGTACAATGCCTGTCAGGATGTCCAGCTACCTTCTAGCAACGTCAAAGCCTTATCAATGCTATGTGGCAGGGATGCAAAAGAATGCAACGCAACTAACTGGATCGAGTACATGTTCAGTACTGACAATGGACAGGCTCCCTTTGATATTAAACCAGTATTCTCAGGTAATTACTTGTTTATGGTATTATTTGGAGTCCTTCTCTTTAGCTGGTTGATCAGTTGAACCATGAAATGTTCTATTACTCCAGATGTGCCAGTATCTCAATACACTCCCATGAACAACAAGACATACGCCTGCTCAGAGGGCTTAGATGACGGTTCGGGTCCCTGCTCCTGTCAGGACTGTGCGAATGCCTGTGGCCCCAAACCTGTTCCTCCTACTCCTCCGCCTCCCTGGACCATCTTTGACGTGGATGCCATGTATGTCATCATGTGGATCTCATATTTGGCATTTCTGCTGGTCTTCCTTGGAGCTGCGTTTGTAGCTTGGTGTTACAGGTAATGCGCTTTTAGCAGACACAGCTCGCGTTTGTCATTCTGCTTTTTCAGTAGTATTTATTTTCTATAACAATTCAGCTCTGAGTTGGTTTGTAATGTGTATTTCACTGATGTTTGGTTCTTTGTGTTTGCAGGAAAACAACTATCCAGTCAGAGTATGGCCCCATTTTGGACAGCAACAACGTCCTGTCCCTCAACAACGATAATTCTAATCAAGGTAGAGTCATGCAATATCTAAAATATTTTATTCACCTACATTATGATGTGAGAGATCAGATGGTTTTAATTTATTATTTTTTTCTCCCCTCAGTAAACGCATCATGCTGTGAAACGCTTGGTGAACGTTTTGAGAATGTCCTGCGAACGTTCTTCAGCTGCTGGGGTTCCTTCTGCGTTCGTCATCCGGCTGCTGTCATATTGGCCAGTATTGTGCTGGTGATCGCTGCCTCCTCGGGCTTGGTCTACATGCGTCTCACCACAGACCCAGTAGAGCTTTGGTCGTCCCCCTCGAGCCAGGCTCGACAAGAGAAGGACTATTTTGATCAGCACTTCGGCCCCTTCTTCAGGACGGCACAGCTCATTATAACCACCCCGATCGACGACAATTATACCTACTCTCCGTATTATCCAGGACCAGATGTCCCATTCAAAGCCATCCTGTTCAAAGACATCCTGCACCAGGTGAGTTAATCTGGGAGTTCAGTTTAGAAAACAGAAAGCTACTTTACTTGAACTTTACACACTGCAGTTGTCTTCTGCAGTGATCTGCAACAAAACTTTGGACTCACCTCATCACTTTTCACCACAGTGAAGCAGAAAACAGCCTCATGAGAGACATTATTTCAATGCATTTTGGTCGTAATGAATTATAAGTGTCACAGCACAACAGCACCCTTCTTTATTTTGTTTTCAGAGCACTTTTCTTTGCCTCTTTCACGAGGCCTCTGTCTGTCAAGATCAAGTTACAAGACGATCAGACACTTTTTAAATATGTAAACACTGTTTTGTAGAGCCCAGGTTGCATTAGTGTGACATTTCACACAGAATAAGTGATAATGTTTTTGTGACGTTCCTTCATTGATCATGTGGAATGAAACTTTGGTTTAACTGTGGTTTAACGTTTTTCGTTTCTACTGTTGTTTTTCTAACCTCTATCAGGTGCTGGATCTACAGCTCCAAATCGAAAACCTTGAAGCTACATATCAAGGTCAAAAGGTTACGTTGAAGGACATCTGCCTGGCTCCCCTGGCCCCATACAACAATAACTGCACCATCTTAAGTGTTCTCAACTACTTTCAGAACAGTCACGCTGTCCTGGATCACAGTGCGGGAGATGAGTTTTTTGTCTATGCTGACTACCACAGCCACTTCCTCTACTGTGTCAGGTGATGTTTTTATCTTTACTTTGTTCACTCTTCATTTTTATGCTTACCAATAAACTGGCACTTTTATGTTTTTGTTTAATTTTATACATTTTATTGTTCTCTAGTTATGTTTGTTTGCACAAATCTGGTTTGTTCTAAGAAATGTTTCACATCTATTCCTCGGTGTGGTCTACCTTGTGCTATATTTTTAGATAATTTTAGAGAAAAGTTTGTTCTTAATATATTCTTCCTCCTTAGCTGTCACATGTCAGGTGGCTGTTTTTCTGTTCTTCTAAACTTTAATACATATGGTCAAAAGATCACAACCTAAAAATGACTGGTTTGTTTCTGTTCGTGTTTTTTGTAACTTTTCGTATCTTTTTCTTCCACAGCGCGCCAGCATCGCTCAACGACACTACTGCCCTCCATGATCCCTGTTTAGGGACCTTCGGTGGTCCCATCTTCCCCTGGTTGGCCCTTGGCGGTTATGATGGTACTTTTTTTTTTGTAAATAATGTTTTACCTTAAACTGCTTCATTTAATACATGTTTACCATATTTTTTGGACTATAAGGTAATTATAAGGCGTATTAAGCGAAACATAACGGTCAGATAAGTCAAACTTTATTCAACTCATTCACAATAACCACATAAAATCAGCTCAAGGTCAGTAACACAACTAGAATGAATAAGGCGCACCTGATTATAAGGCTCACTGTCAATTTTTGAGAAAATTAAAGGTTTTTAAGTGCGCTTCATAGTCCGTAAAATATGGTACTTGTTTTCATCAGCTGAAGCAGAAACATTTATTAGGGATGCACGGTATTGGATTTTTGTCCGATATCGATATTTTATATACTTTCCTTTGTCAGAACATAGCCCTCTAATTTTAGGCTTATTTGCTACAAAAAATTGTGTAACAGCTGTAAGAGCTGGTGACATATTCAGTAACAGCCATATGCATAGCATTTTAACTTATATCAAATGAAAAGTATTAAATGTTATTTATTAGCATTAGTCACATGTGATGCTGTCTCACTTGTAGAGACTTGTTCTGTGTTCCTCGCTGCAGTGTGGGATGCTCTGCACTCTTGTGCACGAAGGACAGCCTTTTTAAGATCTAAGTTTTTGTCTATCCATTGTGCCGTAAGTCTAATCATGCTAACGGGGCTAACACGACGTCCAAATGTCTGTGGTAAAACTCACCTAAGTGCTATCGGCTATTGGCTTCTCAACGACGTCGGAAATGACGGCTTGTAACTCGGGTAAGGTTACGTCGGAAAAATATCTCAGACTGGGGACGATGTAGCGAGGCTCAAAGTAATCCAAAAATCTTCGGAATCCAACATCCTCACCAACGATAAAAGAAACTTCCACACTGCCGACATTTTTGAATTTTCCTGTCCGTCGTGAGATCAGGTAGGTGCGCGTGACGTCATCACGTTGTGCTGGCACTGCAGGCATCCTTGTCACTGGGTTGTCATACAAAATCAGCGTCTTTTATATCGGTGGGTTATTTTGATGGAATGGCCGATGTCCGATATTGAACTTTAACGCTAATATCAGCCGATACCATGCTGATAATATTGTGCATCCCTAACTTTTATCTCTGCTGATTATAAATTTCAGAGTAAAGCTTGCACGTAAACACATTTCGATTTAGATTGAAGTTAAGAACACTGCAGTAAACTTGGGGTCCTGCTGGTTTTATGGGATTTGACACAGACCTTAGAAGAGTGGGCAGTATTATTGTGAGCCAAAGCAGGTGGTAGATAATAAAATGTGAATCCTCATAGAAAATATGGTCCAGACTGGTTTTAACTATTATGACAAAGTCGGTAAATTGAGTTGAAAAGAAGATTAGAAAAGGCTTTTACAACGCAAGCCGACTGCAAAACAAACTGATCCTCACATCTGGAGAAAAGAAACCCGTGTGTCACATCATGAAACAAAAGTTGGAGAAGGCCGTACAGTCATTTGTTGGAATAGTTGGAGAGATGGAGTGGATGGTATTAGTTGGAATCAGGTGTAAGAAAACTGTCCCGCACACTTCTTCAAGGTTCTTTGTCATTCGCATCATATGTGATAAATGAGGTGGAATGAAAGTGTGTACTCAAGATCCCAGTTACACCCAAAAATAGCACAAATTCAAAGTATAAAAAGAAACGGTATACAAGGATCTAAGATATACACTAAACGAATGCGATACAATACGCTAAAAGATCTAAGCTGTACACTAAACACTTAATATGTAAAGTAATACAGTTCTTCAATTCAAAGCCATCACATTAAAATAACTTTTATTTATTCATTTATTTTAAAATTTATACATTTCTTATTGTTAAAAACTTGAAAAATGTTCGAGTCAGTGCTTTAAGCATATTTGTATTTTTATTTCATCCCTTATACCTGGTCATTTAGACACTAAAATGGTTAAAAAAAAAAATAATTGTACATTATTTTAATATTGCATAAAAACTGAACAGTTTGTCTGTTTGATTCTTTATTGATTAAATGAAACTGCTGTACTCTTCTGGTCATTTACCTTTGTATTTACCCTCTTCGCTCTGGTGTTCCTACAAAATTCATGATCTACACTACTGCCACATTTGATTTGTTACTCTAAGCAGCATTGGTAAAGCTGATGATCATGAAAATTAATAAAACATTTCCTGTATAAAAATAGTAAGGAGCTATGAGGTATGTTTTCTAGAAAGCACCTTTGTGTCTGCCTCTGCAGATCACAACTTTCCAGGCGGAAGAGAAGCAGGGTTGGCTGCAACTTTCCCTGAAAACCTTAGTCAGCTCTGATTGGTCAGCTCCAGCTGGCCTGATGTTAGACTCCGCCCTTAAATCTTAGACATTCTTTTCATTGGATACAGAATCTGTATACAGGATGGCTACATCTTGCAGGAAGTGACAAGCTTATAATACACTTAGAAAATAGACAAAACTAAAGTTTTTATTTGTTTTATGAGAAATTGTTGTTTAGAAGAACAGGTTTAGAAGGTTTGCTGTTTACATGTCGGCAACATGTTTTTAATAAAACAGAACCAGTAGCAAGGACGTCCACACCTTATTTTGCATACCTGTCTATCAGCTGTGAAGTGTGTAGCTGTAATGCCTCAAGGTTTTTTTAATTTATTATGAGGATTATAAATTAATTTTGAAATGCTGCATTTCAATAACATCTGAAACATTCCTATTTTTAAGTTCTGTTTTTTTTTTTTTTTTTTTTTTTTTTAAAAACTACCAGTACTTAGTATTGGCAGTAAGCTGTTGTCAGCTCCTCATCCTAATGCTTTTTCTATTTTTCTTTCGCGTTGCAGATACAAACTACAACAATGCTACTGCTCTCGTTGTCACCTTTCCCCTTAACAACTACCTGAATGAATCTGAGAAAATGAACAGAGTCCTCGCTTGGGAAAAAGAGTAAGCCAACAGTCACCGTTTGTTGTGAGGTGGTGTTTTTGCGTGTACATAGTTTTTTCATTTTGTCTTTTTGCCTTCTAGATTCATCAGTTTCATGAAGAACTATTCAAACCCCAACCTGACCATCGCCTTCAGCTCCGAGAGGAGCATTGAAGATGAAATCGACAGAGAGAGCGACGGCGACATCAGCACCATTGTCATCAGCTACGCCATCATGTTCGTCTACATCTCTCTGTCCCTCGGTCACATCCACAGTTGCAGAAGACTTTTGGTGTGTTGTCTTTTGTTTTTGTTAGCCAAATGCTTCTCTTATTGCACAATTTAACTTGTCTTTCCTGTTTGTGACATGAGAACTTAATGTAATGCAGCATAAATCATCATTACTTTCCACTTATAGTGCAGAAAATGAACGAGGTAATTGATCTTGTGTTTTTGTTTTTGTCCGTGCAGGTGGACTCCAAGATATCTCTGGGCATAGCAGGTATCTTTATTGTGCTGACCTCTGTATGCTCCTCACTGGGGATCTTCAGCTATGCCGGTGTACCCCTCACGCTCATTGTGATCGAGGTCATCCCTTTCCTTGTGCTGGCTGTTGGAGTTGACAACATTTTTATTATAGTGCAAACATATCAGGTAAACTCTCAGGTTGCAGTCTGTAACTTGTATTATTTAGCCTTTGTTTTGTCATGTAGTTCAATACCCATTCACACCTTCAATATGATTAGTCAGCCGAGTCAAATAAAATGTTTTTAGAAGGCATGAGTCAGTATTTGGTTTCTAGGGTGAACCACTGTTTTCAAAAGTCAGCTTTCCCGTCATTATTCTGTGTTTGAGCTGATTCTACAACTTGTGAGAAACCAAACGTGACAAAAACTCTCAGGTCATATGAGTCAAACTCCCTGTCCCCCACTAGCTGGTGCAAACTGTGATGTACAGAGAAAACAGCAAGGAGCTCAATGTCACTAGCTCCATAGGAACCCCTTGGAATCCTCCCAGAAGAGCTGGAAGAGGTGGCTGTGGAAAGAAATGTCTGCCCCCACTGCTCAAGCTGCTTCCCTTGAGACCTGACTCTGGAACAAGCAGTAGATGGAGGGATTTGATTTGATATATAACCAAATTAAAAAAAAGCCCAAATTTCCAGAGGAGGCAAAATTAAATCTTTTTATGGTGAAGCTTTTTTGAAACAAACTTTTGCAACAAGTTGTGAAAGTCAGCATTACATCACAAGATGAAACAAGAGAAATAATTTCTTATAACCTGCACCCTTACTTTTTGTATTCACACACTGTAATTATATATAGCTATAATCATTTTTTTTAGCTGCACATTTTTTGCATATGTATTTTCCAAGTCACAAATATCTTTAAAATTATCTGCTGGCTCTCTGATGCTTTTACTGGTGTGTCAAACACAAAAAATAGCATCTGTGAGATAAAAACACAAATCTGTAAACTCACTTGTGTTCTTTCACTTGTGTGTCTGTACGCCAACTTTGACATAATAACGTCCTCATTATAGATTTATTTTTTATTATTTTAGCAGTGATCGTAGTATTAATATCTGCGTTGTCAAATCAAATAAATTAGATAATTTATAGCATTTTTAGTTGCTTTTAAAACCACAATACATTGAAGTTGTGTTAAATTTTACTCTAGAGTTCTGCTGTCTAGTACCAGTTGTAGAAAATGGTGCTTGTGTTTGTGCATGATTGTTTCTCTCAAGAATTATTTCCTCCTTTGCTATTGTTCATAGAGGGATGAGCGACTGTCACATGAAGAACTTCACCAGCAGATCGGCCGTATTCTTGGAGACATAGCACCCAGCATGTTTCTGTCCTCCTTCTCAGAGACTGTGGCCTTCTTTCTGGGTAAAACTAAATTTATGAACCCTATATGAATGTTTTATTTGAAAATAAAGTGGCAGATTTCTTAATAGCTTGTAGCTGCCTGTCAGAAATAGTGCAGGTAGTAAGGAAGTAAAACTTTATTTATATAGTGCTTCTCAAGATAAAAATCATAAAGTGCTTCGACAAACAAAATAACATCAGGTCAGATCAGGTTGTGCATTTTAAAACTCAGCTGATTAACAAATACAGGCACAAGCCAACAATAATAAACATATATACCATATTTTTCGCTGTATAAGTCACATCTTTTTGCATAAATGTGCAAGTCCTGCAACTTATACACTGAAACAGCTAATACCCCCCCCCCCCCCCCCATATTTATAACCAAATTTTTGGCTGAGATTTGACGATTTCATTCATTCTGATATGGAAAACATTGAAGACTATCATTTTCAGCCGCAAGCGGGCCCTTGAGTAATATGGCAAGCCAAGTGTCTCATTAATAGGTAAAAGTGGCTATTAATGAGACACTTGGCTTGCCATACCAAGCTACCTTCGTCTCACTCCAGAACTCGTAAACGTCAAATCAGCTGCATTTCGCCTGAGCGGTGCGCCGAAATGCAGCTGATTTGACCATTAAAGTGCATTTATCAAGTACAAGTTCAACTGAGACACACCTTTGCTATAATGTCAAGCAAACAAATAATTGTTTTTAAGTGTTAATCTTGTTAAATTCTTGTTAAAGTCCTCCCATGCACGATCTTGCAGCGGCCATTTAGTAGCCAATCTATTTTTGGCACAGCAACAGCCCACATTTCCGGATTGTCAGAGGTGACGCATAATAGATTCGACTGATGCGGCGAAGCGATGCATTTGTTTTTTTTTTTCCACTTTATTTGGATATATTTGGACTGATGCAACTTATTCGGCGGTGCGACATGTACAGTGGAAAATACGCTAAATAAATAACTTAACTGTGGTAGCTTGGTGGTCATTGCCATGGCCTTGTAATCCTGAGGTTGTGAGTTCGAGCCCAGGTTGCGTCAGGGAGGGCATCCGGCGTGAAACGATTGCCAAATCTTTCACGCGAGCTCGCTCGTTGTGGCAACCCCTGAAGGAGCAGCAGCTGAAAGAAACATAACTAATAAAACAGTGAAAAGCAACTCAAATTAGCAATGAATTATAAACATATGAACTTAAGTATCTGTAAATAATCTGTAATTTAAATCTTTAAATTAACAGAGTTACTTTTACAGTCTGAATTTTTTACAGTTGACGGATAAATAGTCACAGTTTTCTGCTGAGCTAAAAGCTAATGTGTTCCCCCTCCCCTCCCCCCAGGTGCCTTGTCTAACATGCCAGCAGTGAGGACTTTCTCCCTGTTCGCTGGCCTGGCTGTTTTCATCGATTTCCTGTTGCAGATCAGTTGCTTTGTCAGCTTGCTCGGCTTGGATGCCAAAAGGCAGGAGGTGAGTGTCGGAGGAAGAGACGGTAACATTTGTTTAATAGACTACAAGAGATTATACAGACTGGAACAGAACACTTGTTAAATTATAAAAAGAGTCATCACCTTTTAATAACTGTATTTGATTAGGTGTGGGGACTCTTCAGATACCTTCCTATAAAATGATGATGCAATTATAAAACAATAATCTCTGCATCTCCGTGCATCCATATTCTCACTTAAAACAAATTCCAGACATAGACTTTCACAAACCTGAAAAAAAAAATCAGTTTGCTCTACACTACAGTATACAGCAGGTATTGTTCAAATAAGATTTTGGGAACTAAATGAACAAAAAATGGATATAAATGCTGAGTACAGTGACACAAGATTCTGTGGCAATAGATGTCCATGTATCACGTGTTCGAGCTTTCTTACTGCTTCAGTTTCCACCCACTGGTTTTGGTCCCGTTGCATAGTGTAGTGGACTAAGCCTACGTCGGAACCCAGTCTAAGGTCAAAACTCTTGACCTTTAGAACCTTGTGGGACAGAAGCTGTCATTTCATGTATTTGACTCCATAAATACAGGTTCACCCATCCTGAGACTTTCTTTCTTGAAGATTCAAGTGAAAAGAACACTCTCTTTTTATTATCATTACTATCTTACAAATGTTGATAATCAAAGTGTCTTAGTTCAAACCATTTTAGATGTTGCAGTGAACTAATCAATTTTATTAACTGAGTAATGATTTTATTCTCATGTTAAAAGCTGTGCAGAGTAATTATGCATTTTTCTGATTTCTGCTTTTGAATGAGCAAGTGTGTGCGTTTACAAGGTTACAGTCAAACGAAAAACAAGTTGTTATGTTAAAACTGTCATGTTTTAGAATCCTCTCAGACGTAAATAGAGATGTTTTGCACCTGTTTCTTAAGGCACGCCAAAACAGAACCCTCTCGGTCTGTGAGAACATTTCTGAGCTGTCTCATAACAATTCTCGCTGTCTCTAACCTCTTACGTCACAAAAACACACCCCTTCTGGTCGTGTCTGACCAATGAAAAATCCCAAAAAGTGAACCGGGAAAGAGTCTTTAAAATGTCAGTACTTCCTGGTTTACACAGACTCACAGGGACACGGAGAGACACACAGGTACTCAGAGTTGGAGAGTTGTCAGACTTCTAGAGTTCTGGAGTTCTGATGGAGTGCTGTTGGAGTTCCTGACATGACAACGAAGCTCTTCCGAGTTCCATGGGATTATAACATTTTCCACTGAGGTGAAGGTGTGTCGAACAGAGCCTCGCCACTACTTCTGACGGGCAACAGCCATTCTAAGGAGACGCTGGACCGGTAGCGTTAACGGAACACCATATCTGCTGATTATCATCAGAGAGGTAATGGGTCAAGTTTCCTACCAAGCGTACCGAGGCGAGCTGGGCTTCTGATGGAGAGTGTCGGTTCTGGCGAACATTCCTCCCCTCCCATTCAATCTTAACTCCCTCTAAACTTCTTCCCATCTTTAAACTTTTCTATCAAGTAGAAATTCTCCCAGATATTTAGAAATGTCTGTGTAAAGTGCTTATTCACATCCGTGTGGGTAAAAGTCATAGTTGTACAGTTTTATACATGTCTGTGGTGCAGCAACGGAAAAATCATGGCCGTATGATTTTTCCTGATTGATTGCTTATGTTGTTATTTTCATAATTTGCCAAATTAATGTAAATGTTTGATGTTAAATTTGATTCTGTAAATAAATGACCGCATTCATTTTGATGGGTCAAATTTAAATGACGTCTCACGTTTGCATTTCCTTAAATTCAATGCACGTTTTATTCAGTCCAGAAAAATGAGGAACTCGCGTTAAATGATGAATATATCCCAGCATCTGTTCATCTACAATAGTGAAAGGGCTGTGTTGGCATATTTAAATGTGACGATCACGATCATTAAAAAATGGTGCAGAGCTAGTTCAGAAACTGGAATACCGCTAATGTTTAAAAGTCATTTTATGTCTCTTTATATTTAATATCACAGTTGTAGTCAGTTGTTTCACTAATCTTGGTTTTCAAGCTTAATTGTTGTTTACCACAGATGTATAAATTCACTTTAGGGGTCTGAATTGATGTGATTTTAAAAACATTTATTAATGATTGTTAAATAGTGGAAACACGTTATTAAGTGATACTGTTCAGAAGTGAACCGCCTTCTCTTGTTAAACTCCACGTTAAGACAAATGTAGTCGACATTAATCAACATGTTCATTGGTTGATCTGCTCGTCTTTTATATTTTTGTGCTGTTAGACCCTCCGTCACCTCTAACAGCTGGTTGTTATTTGCATTCTTCAAACATTGCACGGTGTGTTTTTGTTTAAAAGGAAAACCGACTTGACATCTGCTGGTGTGCGAAACTGAGCGAAGGTCAGGAAGTCAAAACGGAAGGCTTCCTCTTTTGCTTTTTTAAGAAAATCTACGCTCCGCTCATCCTGAAAGATTGGGTTCGACCAATTGTTGTAAGTAAATTAGTTGCACTTTGGCAGCCATGCAAAAGTTTAACTTGTACTAATTAACTCAAGAATAGATTTTTGTGTATTTGTTGTTGTAATGATCCTGTGATTGTAAACAGGTGGCAGTGTTTGTGGGTATGCTGTCCTTCAGTATAGCTGTGATACATAAAGTGGACATTGGACTGGACCAGAAATTATCCATGCCTGATGTAAGTTTTAAAGTTTCTATTAAAAAATTTGCGTCTTCATCTTTCACTGGTGATATATCAGAGTCTAAATGTATTTTCTGACACAGTTAACTAAATCTAACTTCAAGAAATTGTGTTACTTCTGTTTAGGACTCGTATGTTTTGGACTACTTCAAGAACTTAAGCGAGTATCTCCACACTGGAGCTCCTGTGTACTTTGTTGTGGAGGACGGACTGAACTACAGCAGCCTGGAGGGCCAAAACTGTGTGTGCGGAGGAGTGGGCTGTAACAATGACTCTTTGGTCCAGCAGGTCTACCAAGCTTCGCTTATCAGCGACTAGTGAGTCAGAGCAATGACAAAAAAAAAAGCAACAATAGAGATTTTTCTTTGATTCTACTGCCAGAAAAAATAAATAAATTGACTTGACTCATTTAAATCTCTATTTGTTACAAACCCTAAACTATAGAAACTATAGAACTAAATAAAGGAATAGAATGATACTATACAGGTGCTGGTCATAAAATTAGAATATCATGAAAAAGTTGATTTATTTCAGTAATTCCATTCAAAAAGTGAAACTTGTATATTATATTAATTCATTACACCCAGACTGATATATTTCAGATGTTTATTTCTTTTAATCTTGATGATTATAACTGACAAATAATGAAAACCCCAAATTCAGTATCTCAGAAAATTAGAATATTACTTAAAACCAATTAAAAAAAGGATTTTTAGAAATGTCGGCCAACTGAAAAGTATGAACATGAAAAGTATGAGCATGTGCAGCACTCAATACTTAGTTGGGGCTCCTTTTGCCTGGATTACTGCAGCAGTGCGACGTGGCATGGAGTCGATCAGTCTGTGGCACTGCTCAGGTGTTATGAGAGCCCAGGTTACTCTGATAGTGACCTTCAGCTCTTCTGAATTGTTGGGTCTGATGTATCACATCTTCCTCTTGACACAATACCCCATAGATTTTCTGTGGGGTTAGGGTCAGGTGACTTTGCTGGCTAATTAAGAACAGGGATACTAGGGTCCTTAAACCAGGTACTGGTAGCTTTGGCACTGTGTGCAGGTACCAAGTCCTGTTGGAAAATGAAATCTGCATCTCCATAAAGTGTCAGCAGCAGGAAGCATGAAGTGCTCTAAAACTTCCTGGTAGATGGCTGCCTGGACCTTGGACCTCAGAAAACACACTGGACCAACACCAGCAGATGACATGGCATCCCAAATCATCACTGACTGAAAACTTGACACTGGACCTCAAGCAACATGAATTTTGTGCCTCTCCTCTCTTCCTCCAGACTCTGGGACCTTGATTACCAAAGGAATTGTAAAATTCCCTTTCATCAGAGAACATAACTTTGTCTTTAGCCCAGGTGAGACGCTTCTGACACTATCTCTTGTTCAAGAGTGGCTTGAAACAAGGAATGTGACAGCTGAAACTCATGTCTTGCATACATCTGTGCATGGTGGTTCTTGAAGCATCGACTCCAGCTGCAGTCCACTATTTGTGAATCTCCCCCACATTTTGAGATGAGTTTTGTTTCACCATCCTCTCCAGTGTGCAGTTATCCCTATTGCTTGTACACTTTTTTTCTACCACATCTTTTCTTTCCCTTCACCTCTCTTATTAATGTGCTTGGACACAGAGCTCTGTGAACAGCCAGCCTCTTTAGCAATGACCTTTTGTGTCTTGCCCTCCTTGTGCAAGGTGTCAATGGTCATCTTTTGGACAACTGTCAAGTCAGCAGTCTTCCCCATGATTGTGTAGCCTACAGAACTAGACTGAGAGACCATTTAAAGGCCTTTGCAGGTGTTTTGAATTAATTAGCTGATTAGTGTGGCACCAAGTGTCTTCAATATTGAACCTTTTCACAACAGTCTACTTTTCTGAGATACTTAATTTGGGGTTTCCATTAGTTGTCAGTTATAATCATCAACATTTTAAGAAATAAACATTTGAAATATATCAGTCTGTGTGTAATGAATGAATATAATATACAAGTTTCACTTTTTGAATGGAATTACTGAAATAAATCAACTATTCTAATTTTATGACCAGCACCTGTGTATGAGTAAAGTAGTTAAAGGAAAAGCTTCTTATCTAATAAAGCAGATGAAATCTAACCTATTTATTTCCACCTTTTTTCATTTGCTTTTAGTACAACCATTGCCAGCACACCATCTTCTTGGCTGGATGACTACTTCGACTGGGTGAAACCTCAGTCAACCTGCTGTCGCTACTACAACGAAACTGGGGCCTTCTGCAACGCCTCAGGTAAGATCTGATCCTGTGTTGGTGTATTGAAGTGTTGACTCATGATTCTGATCGCCAAGTCTCACAAATGGATACATTTTATAATCAAAATATGCTTTTACTTGGGTAACTTTTAAAAATGTGTTCAGAAAGTGTCATTCGGAAATGATTTAAATGTAAATGCATTCATATTTTCAGAACTAAAAGTCAGATGTAGTAAATATTTGTTGTTTTAAATGCGTCATGCATGTCCTCCCTGTGCTGATGTGGGTTTACTGTGGAAGCGTCATTTTATTTCCTGTTGTCCAAAGACATGCATCACAATGTTAAATATGCTCCTTCTGCTTTTAAATATGTTTTGCAACACATTTATGATAGAAACTAAATATTATTGTTGTTTTTATATAATTTAATTTACATTTATAATTCTGTTTTATAGTGGTGAATTCGTCCTGTGTATCTTGTCGACCGATGACTCCAAGTGGAAAGCAAAGACCTGTAGGAGAAGACTTCATGCACTTTCTACCCATGTTTTTGTCAGATAATCCTAATGTCAAGTGTGGAAAAGGGTATTTGTTATTACTTTTATTGAAAACACTTAACATGTCACTGAATCCTCTACTAGAAGTTTTGGATTGTAACATTCCTGTCTTCTCTGCACGGACCCTTTCTCAGAGGCCACGCAGCTTATGCCACGGCAGTCGATCTGTATCCCAATGACACCGGCGTCGGAGCCACTCACTTCATGACGTACCACACCATCTTAAAGGAGTCTCCGGACTATATAGACGCTTTGAAAATGGCTCGAACCCTGGCTAGCAATATCAGCCAGTCCATTGATCACAAAGTTTTTGCCTACAGGTAAGTTCTGTTGTACTAGCCGCAGGTAATTTACTTAGACTCTGGAATTAATCGCAATCTTTTGTGTGTCCGATCTATATTCAATTGAAGCATTTTCACTTTTTGAGTAGGAGCTTTGACATTTTTGTAAAGTTTGTTTCATCTGACTGAAGTTTGGCTTGTTGTGTGGTCACAGTTTAAGTATATCAGAAGGTGAAAGGTCACAGATAAGCACACAGCAGAAAGCAAAACATTGTAAATGCCCAAAAAAAAAAAACAAAAAAAAGCTAATGTATGACCAGAACTACTGCATTAGTTTTTACTTTTTCTAACATTTAATTTAATAAAAATACTGTATCATCCTTAAAGTACCTTTTAATACAATCTAGAAACTCCAAATTCATCAGAAGTGACTTTATGGAACCAGAAACTTGCAGCATTTATTGGATCAAGTAACTTATTAAAATATACAATATAAGGGATCATATTACAGCAACACAATTTTAGACTAATCATAAATTCAACTATTATTGCAGCATGTTTTATACTAATTCAGATTTTGTTCATTTTTAGCGTCTTCTACGTGTTTTATGAGCAGTACCTCACCATTGCCTACGACACGGCTCTGAACCTGTGCGTCTCACTTGGCGCCATATTTGTGGTGACTACGGTGCTGCTGGGCTTTGAGATGTGGTCAGCTGTGATGGTCACCATCACGATCGCCATGATCCTGGTCAACATGTTTGGCGTCATGTGGCTGTGGAGCATCAGCCTTAACGCAGTATCCCTTGTCAACCTGGTCATGGTAAGAGCAACATGAAATAACCGAACAGTTCTCAGCGATTACGTTTTGAGTGAAAAGAAATGAATCTTTCTAGTGGTCCTTTGATTAAGAAAGCCTTAGATGAGCCTGTTCTTCATTATGAAATAAATTATTATTTATTTTGTTTCAATTCTTATTTAAAACCAAGAAGTATTATAGCTAGAGCTGAAAGTTGAAGCCACAAGGACTGGTGACCCCTAGTGGCTAGCTTTAGTACAACTTTTAAGTCCTGCCTCTCCATCCTTTTTCTAACTAAAAAGTAAAAATGCACTTCAGATGTTGATTTTTGTGACTCTTGCTGCTTTATGATCAAATATGCTTTTCCACCTCAATTGTTTAGTTTTAATCAGTTCTGGGCTCGTAGAAAAGGGTTATAGTACACTGAATTTCTCAGCGTCTGTACAACCTTCCAGCAGCGTAAAGAGCTGTGTGGGTGTATAGGTGGGACGTCAGTGTCGAGGGTACATCTCCCATGCCTGTGTGCAAACGCTGGCTCATGAACTTGGCTGCTTTAATTTGAACAACAGAAGGCGGAAGCACTATATCTATTTCTTTTAGTCAATGGATGGTGCATAAAGCATTTTAACAACAGTTCAGTTGTTTTTCACATAAGCCAGAAGATAATTCACACACTCAAACCATGGTTAGCAAGAAATATGAAACAGGATAATTTAATACTTTTCTGTCGCTGCTGTGGGAGAGTTTTCACACAGATGTCACTAGTTATGTGCAAAAATCTGCTGTTCTCCAAGATGTATATTAAATAACTAGAATTCATAGGGGAAGCTGGAAGTTGAAGCTGTTCCACCAGCTCTGTAGAATAGTCCCAGTACAAGTCTTAGCTCCTGCTTGTCCATGTAAACAAACAGGTCTTTGCTCGTGGTCAAATACAAAATCCACCTCAGATGTTTTTAGGTGTTCGTTCACGTACTTCTGTTCTTAGCTTGTTGTTGTATGGTCAAATATTCATACATTTATAGTTATTTCTTGATTAAAATAAAAGTAATGTATGATTGCTTGTAGGGGAGCAGGTGAACAAAATTTTTCATAATAAACTGAATGGCAGACTTAAAGCATTTCAATAAATATTAGCTTTATTGACATATTGTCCTGGTTCCTGTTAGATGTGCTGGTTTTACTTTACATGAACTTTACTAAAATGATGAACACTTTCAGTACCCAGGAGAATACTAGATACTCTGCTAATTTTGATCTTTCAGATGAACGAAACAAAAAGAGGATGTTTTTGAACAAGAACAATACAAAAGATGTCGGGTTTGTTTTATGCTGGTGGTTTGAATGTCCGCTAGTGTTGAGCTGCTACAGAAGGAAGAGGCTGTGTGCCTCTGCAGCGGCGCTGTGAGAAGCTGGAGAAAACAAAGACTGCACTGTTGTATCCATTTGTTGCGAAAAATCTCTAATTAGATTATAGGTTTTTGTTTTAATTCAATTAGATGCTTATTTGGGTACGATTTTAGTTTCTTGTACAATTAGCCACGATCGATCATGTGGTTTGGGTCACATAATGCTTTTAAACTATTTACAGTCTTTGGTTGTCTGACGTGTTTTGATTGAGTTAAACGTCTCAACATCAGCAGGTTTTTTTGTTCTCATATTTGCCAGAAAGAAACTAGCTGTGCCGATTTTATTTATGTATTTATTTATTTGTTTGTTTTTGGTTCTGACGTGTTCCTGCCCTCTGTTGCAGAGCTGTGGGATCTCCGTGGAGTTCTGCAGCCATATTGTGCGCGCGTTTTCCATCAGCGTGAAGAGTACCAGAGTGGAGCGTGCCGAGGAGGCCCTGGCTCACATGGGCAGCTCTGTAAGTTACATTTTACAACCTACCGAGTTTGCAACAGGAAGGGAAGTGAACACGCTCAACTGTTGGATTGTAAAAACATATTTTGCATGCTGGTAATTTAAAAAAAAATGTCATGGTAGCAATAAAAACAACAAGTTTTACACATCTGCAGCAAATGTAAACATTTTGTTCATTTATTAGATTATATTCAACTTTATTAATGTGCAGAATACAAGTACAGAGCCAATGAAATGCAGTTAGCATCTAACCAGAAGTATTACTACCAATTATTTACAGTTAAAGTGCAGGGAACGAGTGGAGAATAATGCTTACAGATGTGAACATTATATACAAGAGCGGCCAGTAGAGTTATTATATACTGTATAAATGCTGAATGAGAATAAGCATATGTATGTTTATAGATGTACGTATGTATATACCCAGTATATACAGAGTGAATGATGTGAAATATGCAGGTGTTTTATGGCAGCAGCAAGTAATATATGTACAATGCAAGTGTGAATAGTGCAGTATTAGACTGTGTGCAAATATACATATATGATTTATATTGCAACATTAAGGATGAAGTACTGTGTATATTTAAAATGATGTTATTAAAGTGACTGTGATGATTATAAACCTCAGATTAGCTAACATTTGCTTCTGTCTTTACCATGCACCATTTACAAAATATATATTTAATATCAAAGAGGTTTGTTTCTGAATTATGTTTGAAATTCTCTGACATTGGTTCTAATAGTAGTTTGATCATATTTGGACAGGTATTCAGTGGGATCACATTAACAAAGTTTGGAGGGATCTTAATCCTGGCACTTTCCAAGTCGCAGATCTTCCAGGTGTTTTACTTTAGAATGTACCTGGCCATTGTCCTGCTTGGAGCGACACATGGCCTCATCTTCCTCCCAGTTCTTCTAAGCTATATAGGTTGGTAACATTTATTTTATTTTTTTTTAAACGTTGAATATGAAGGCATGGAGCTAAAACTGTGTTTGTTTTTGTTTAAAGGTCCGTCTGTGAACAAAGCCAAGGTGTTTGCTGCTAACCAGCGTTATATCGGTACAGAAAAGGAGCATCTCCTCAACTACTAGTGATGTTTGGGAACTAACTGAAGGACTGTGAGTGTGTGCATCAGCTGTTTCTGTGCTCAGTAACACGCTTATCATTGCAACTACTATGCATGGATGGAACTCAGGAACAGAGCAGGAAATGAGTGCCAGAGGTTTAGTCCAAATGCATCGTTTGATTTTCCTCCAAAGACTCCGATCGGTCCCATTCCTCACACTGCAGGACAAACAAGACTTCAGTATCTGAAGCAGGAACAAGAAACCACAGAACGGACTGTTTCGCAGATGACAGGCGACCCTCAGCCTTTCAGTGATGGTGAGAGATGTTTGGATTTTTTAATGGGTAAAACTGGTCTGGTTTTATAAAATTGTAAAGACCAGAAAAATAATATGTAATTTTTTGTATTTTTTGGGTCATTAAAGCTGAACTTTTGTATACAATAACTATATGTAATTATAAGTCATATATTGAGCGGAAACAGTCGTATAATGAAGCCGAGATCTAAAGAAGAAGGGAATCCCAAGCCCTTCAAAAACCTGGATTTACCTTGAACACTTCCCCAGGCTTCGTTAGCAGACTGTATTATAAAGCAGATTAGCTAAAAGTACATTTCTTCTGCAGCTTTTAACTGTCAGGACATTTTTTTTTTGACTCAGAAACCATTTTTGTAGTTTTTATATTTGATATATAAATACAGAAACTGATTTCCATGCATCAGTTAATAAATTGATTCTTACAATCTGTCCCATAGACACTGCTTCCTGCATTCCCTCACACACTTTCTGTTTATTTATTTCCACATTGTTTACATTATCCAAGTTTCATTTTAAAACGCACACAGGACCGGATCGATCAGCTGTCGAGCTGCAGCTTAATGCCAAGTGTGAATGTAGTGGTGCTGAAGATAGCTTTGTGTTGAGACATTTTAGAGTTACTGAATGAAGAGTTTGCAGAATCAGTAAGTGGACAGAAAAACCTTTAATAATAAACTGTAAAAAGAGTAGTCATAGGACGAATTAAGTTTAATTCCTCTGTTTGTTGTGTGGATATAAAAATGTATAATTTATTGCATCGTAATGCAGTTCTGAGATTTTCATTCCTTCACATTTAAATGATTGTTTTATCTATTAACACTGTATTAACACTGTTACTGTGTGTTGTCTTTGAACCACTGCTAGTCTATCAGAAGACCCTTTAAAAAACACTTGTAAAAATACTTGTCTGAATCAAAATATTGCTTTTCATCTTTTTTAATTTTCACACATTGAATCTGCTTATGTCCGCGATTGTTACTGGTGCGCTCTTTGTGTGTTCTGCTTCTTGTTTTTAGTTTTCTGATAGAACATGTTTGGGCTATTTTTTTTTTTTTTTTCCTTACATGATACATTCATGTTTAGGAATGTGAGAAAGAAAAATGTTGTCACAGCAGCTGAGTTTTGGACTAACACTGAGAAATCACATCTGACAATGAAAAATATCTCTGTAGAAAAAAACAAACTTGGAAAGTGTTTAGTTAAAAACAAAATTTAACACCTAATAAAGAGTTTCCCTAAAATGATGAACAACGTATTCACTTTGTGACGCTCCAATGGATGAAAAAATGCTGTAAATCTTTGCAATTTTATTTTTTATCTGCTTGTATTTGTTTTTTGTTACTATTTTTAGAATAATTTCCGATCTACTCGCCTACCTTGTCTGGATCAGTAGTCCTAACGTGGATTAAAGGCTGTTTGTCATTTCTGAGTTAGAGGTTTACATGTAGATTTAGGACAAGGTGTTAAGTTAGGATTAGACATACTGGTAATGGTTAGCGTAGGAGTAAAGGTCAGTGTTTGGCTACAGAAGTGAGTAGAAGTAAATACAATGCCCTAATAAGAAAAATGTGAATTTGTGCTTCTCTTAAACCATGGGATAAATTTTGATGAAACACTTAGAAATCATGTACATCTACACCTCAACATCTGGAGTTGGCCCAATTCAAGATGGCTACCACACAATCAACTTTAACCAACAAAAACTGGCTATAACTTAGTGAAATTTACAAATAAGTTGCTAAAATTTGGTATAATTGTAGCTGAGAGTCAACCCCAACATATACTCAGATCTTGTATTACAAAATTTGACCAAAATGGCTTTAAATCCATTTATTTTTACTGTTAGTTTTTTTTTTGTTGTTTGTTTGTTTAAAACTGGCTTGAAAAGTGGCAGGCGGTATGCAATCCTTCAAGGAACGCTAGACCTTTGATGGAGCATCCCATTTACTCTGACCTGAAGACATATATTTGCTAACTTTGTTAAGAAAAATAATTATTCTTACTGACAACACACAGTGTACATGAAAGCTGAGATTGTTCAGACTAACCACAGTGTGGCACCTCAGACCTGAACACCCTCTGCATCGTGCTCTTCGTAAATAATGTAGTGGGAGTGACCTCATTTCTCTGATTGCAGCTGCTTTTACTGTTTCTGTGACCATTTTCTGCAGCGTTCACGAGTTTCCATATATCAACTCAAACATCAGCACAAAGCGTTTATTTTTTCATTTAAACTGGCAGGATTTGAACTCAAGAGGCCATCAGTCACATCTCCTTCAAAAGTTGCCAAGACGAGACTTCCTTTCAGCTTTTGTTGTTGTGGCTGCCTCCTCAGCCCTGTTGTCACACAATCCTGCAGCTCATGACTTATTTATCCCCTGCCCTGTGGGAGCAGGACTGTCCTTTGAGTGTGGCTGTGAGATTAAAATATTAATTTCCCCTGCAGGTCTGCTGTGCTGTCTTACAGGGAGGAGAATGTACAGGTTGTCAGAGAACAATTATGTAAGAGGTGAAAGGCTCCCCCCTCTTATTTGACTCTGACCTGACTCCGTCTTCCATTATGGAGCAGTCATACGGCTCATCGAGGGCATTCTAGTTCACTGAGGCGTGCAAAGCACTGCAGGAGCAGAGAACTGGAGAAATAAGCAATGTGGGAACCTGAGCGCAAAATTAAATATAATTTACTTGTTTCATAAAGGCATGATAAAACTCAAACTACTGCACTAATTTGAACACTGACATCTTTTAATTCTTTTTTTTCTCCTATCCTGATTATTTGATGGTAACTCTTCAGACAATTTGTGATGTATCAACAATTCAAACATCAAAAATAAAACTCATACTTTAGTAATGACATCAAAAAAAGCTAACAGAAAGTTTTTAGTTTTCCTATATATATATTTGTTAATGATCAGCTTAATTTTAGATGTGTGCATCAAAATCTGTAGTGAAACAAAAAGTCAGAAAATATTCTTTAATCCTCTGAAAGAAGTGCACTGGCTAGATCTGCACATCATCACTACAAATGTTATTATTAAACAGATATTTACTGTAAAAATCTGTATTCACGGTTTACTTGAAACATAAAACTCAAAGCTAAAATCCACTTTACAAGATTCAGATGTACATTTAGTCTTTAGTTTTGCCAAGTTTAATTCATCAGAAGGGACTCGAGTTATTCTACAGTCAGCCACTAGGGGGCGCTTGTTTATTTTCAGCTTCAGAGTTCTCTCTGGTTGTCTGGTTAATGCATGTGTTTGTGATGGTAATTCATATCTAGATTTAAGTGGTTTTAAAAGCTAAATAATTTGTGCCATCTAAAAGGTCAGTCAGGATGAACAGTAGAACTTTGAATCATACAATATACGCTGAAACATGTTTGCTTTAGTGTAACTGACGCCAAATTAGAGGTCATACAAGGTCTGGAAAATTATTTGAATGTATATAAACTATTCAGTGGCATAGAGCTACCTAAAAAGTTGTCAAAAAGTTTTATTAAGCTTAGTCCTAATCCTATTCCTAATAATCTAAGAAATCCCTAATCTAAGAAAGTATATTATACATCTTCCTCTAAAAAGGAATACAACTGAACTACCATATATTTCAGACTTTTAAGGCACACCGGACTATAAGGATTCAAAGTTCAAGGATTCAAGGTTTTTTATTTGTCATACACACCTCGGTACACGTGGTGGAATGAAATTGTGTACACAGGGTCCCAGTTACAGCCAACAAAAGTATAAAAAAAAGAAAAGATCTAAGATATGAACTAAGAAAAAGGTTAACTAAAAACACACTAAGCACTAGTAGTACAAAAACAATAAACACAATACGCCAAACAGCAGCACGAACATGAGTCTGTGTGAGCACACGAGTACGAATGAACACATCAACATGAAACAGATCAGCAGCAACATGAAACAGATCAGCAGCAACATGAAACAGATCAGCAGCAACGTGATGTGATTTTTTTACTGTGATTATTTTGGTCAGATATTCATGAGTCTAACAGCCTCAGGGTAGAAGCTGTTCCTCAGTCTAGTCAAAAAGTGTGTGTGCTGGGTGAGTGAGGTCCTTCATGATGCAGGTGGCTCTCTTCCTGTATCTGGAGGTGTAGATGGCTGTGATGGTGGGAAGACTGACTCCAACAGACTTCTGTGCAGCCTTCACCACTCTCTGCAAAGCTTTTCTTTCTGCAGCTGTGCAGCCTCCATGCTACACGTTGATGCTGGAGCACAGGATGCTCTCCACTGCACACCTGTAGAAGGAGGTGAGGACTGAGCTTCCCAGACCATCTCGCCCTACGCGCATTAAACAAAACTAAAACATTTTGACAGATTTATGAGTGCCATGTACCACATATAATTGGTTGATCAGTAAGCACAAACAGAATTAATACATAAGGTGCACCGGATTCTAAGGCTCACTGTCGATTTTTGAGAAAATAAAAGGATTTCAAGTGCTCCTTATAGTCCGAAAAATATGGTATATCTGGGTTTTCACTACACCTGCTTAAAAAATAAAAGAGTGGGTCTTTTTCAAGATCCATCAATAAATAAATGTTGAGTGTTTGGCGTCAGTTGTTTTAATGTGAAGGGTTCAGTTGACCCTCGGGTTGGAACAACAGGGATTAGGTAGCCTTGTCTAAAATAAAGAAAAGGGATCGAGTTTTCAGCTCCACCTGCTGCGTTTTGGTCCCTGACCTCAGAAACGCTAAAAAAGAAGAGATTAGTTACTGAACAGGAGAAGTGTCTGGTTTTCTCTGAGTAAGAATCAAGCAGCCTGACTTGGTGCTAAAATGAACCATAGATGAACTGAATCAAATTGTTCAGAAGTTTTTGTCGCAGCAACAATTTTTGACCTCTTTGTTTACAAACTGAACGACTCAAAAGCCCCGAGTCACGTTATGACAGGAAAGGTGCAAACCGCAGCTTCAGCTGAATGTTGTTATTTTAAAGGGCAGAGCAATAGGCCGCAGCTTGCTTTAAACGATGGCACACATATTTTCACAATGAGGGTCACTTATGTTTGAGCCGGGCTCAGGAAGGGCTGTCAATGGACCCCTTTATGAGACAGTGAGGGGGAATTAGGCCTTCAATGTGGGGCGCTAAGCCGTGTATGCCATGCGCCCACACTCAGGCCTGGCCGGTTTGTTTTTGAAGGCAGCACGAGACCGGTGTGACTGCGGGTTGCGTTTACACTGGAAATGTGTCACCAGGTGAGAAACTGACCGCTCGGATTGCATCAGAGCAGCAGGTGCAACCACTTCAAGAGAAAAGTACAAACCAGTTGATCTTTGCATCTATTTGTTTCACAGATATGGCTTAGAGAATTAAGGATGCACAAGATACACAAATATGGAAATTACAGTGATTATAAACTCGTTTGTTTAAACATTTAAGGATATAACTTGTGCCACTCGCGTTCTACTTTGTAGAGCTTGCATAAGATGAATGTACTGACAGTACAAGTTGTTTTAGTCTGGTTCCACAGCCTGACACCTGGCCTTACTACTGGTCTGGCGGGTTCATTGGATGAGCCTAAACTATTTATTGGACAACTCAACACACAAGTTTTTTCAAAAATCTGACCCAAACCAGAGTGTTTGGTAGATTATCAAACTGGTTCTTTGAAATGCCCAGTTGCTCAACTCATCTGTAGTTGAACACAGCGAAGTAACAGAAATACATTTTAAAAATCATTGCTTTTAGTGT